CTTTAAATTAAAACCAACTTCAAACAGGGGCAACAGTTAACATGTTCCAAATGTTTGAACACTGATAGAGTCAATTATTAATGAAGGTTTGTCAATGGTCAAATAGAGTAAAGCAGAATCCCCAAAGAAAGCCTAACACAACAAAATTGAAATTGTTGCAGGCTCGGTTTGATTGAGCCTGTTCATGGACGGTCATTTTGTGAATAACCAAATGTGAAAGTTTGGTCCTGTCCAATAATAAACCATTGAATATCAAAAACTGTAGAAATTGTTAAGTATAAAGATGCCAGAAAGATTATTTAAGTTTCAAATCATATTCATTTTAGATGGTGATGAAGTCTAGCATGTTAAATTTTAAAGAAATCAAGTAAAATTTCACGATTTTCCTTGAGTGTCAAGGACAGTAATATAGGTCAAAGTTTTACTTTAGTAATGTCACTTGAAGGTTTTGGCAAAAGGTTGGTATGTCAAAATATAAATCAGACTGGTTCATTAATTACAAAAAGATTTGTCCAATATTATGACCTAAAATGTCAGTGTCAATTAACGATCAAGATAGTTTTAAATAGTTGCACTTGTTGATTTTCTCCTAAGTGGTAGTTTATTTTGAATTTAAATTAAAACAGTCGATAATCAACACAATTATAGCAATTTCAGCAAAATTCAATATTTTGACCAGTACTACATAAAGGTGATTAAAAGTCAATGTCATACCCGAATTGATCACCATGATAATTGTGTGTAAATATGTTTGTCCAAGTATCAATTGAATCAATCCATAAAATGAAACTCTAGCTAATTTATAAGGAAGAATATAAATTCAACCGCAGGGATAACAATCATGTGGAGTTCTAGATCAAGTTTAGTTTGACCTACTACATGTAAAAGGTGCTATCCAAAATAGAGCAATGCCCAAAAATGTATATAGAACATCTAGTAAATTAATAACAAATTTATAGCCAACTTAACGAATATTAAAAAGTTACATTACCGTCTTATGTTAAGTGTTATTTGTACGTATCAATCAAATCCCTCCATTGATTCCAAAAGTATTTTCAATTTTAGCAACCTCATCAATTCGTGCTTAAAGTTAAAATTCATTAAAAGGTCAAGCTCAAATCTAAAGTAGCTCAGCATTCCAGGCTTTTTTATGCATAGTGTTAATTTATTTCAGCATAAATCAAACCAATCCATACACAACAAACTTACGTCAAATATTAAGGCAAATTGAATTATTTGATCCTAAAGGTCAATGCCCTGTTAAGTCAAGGTCAAGTGAAAATAAACCTCTCAGATGGATTGTTGAAAGGGTTGTATATGTCCAAACATGAATACACTATATCAATTTATAACAAATTTAAAGCCGACTATAGTAAATTAAAGCACAATTTGATTTAATTACTTTAAAGGTCAATGTCACTTATGGATCAATGTTAAATTGCGAAAATATGCACAAGTAGACACCTTGTCAAGTATTATTCTCAATGTTGTTTTACAATTGATTCAGCTGTTTATAATGAGAAGCACACAAAGACCGACGGACTAACAGACTTATGTTGCCAAATATCTGGACTAAAATTTATCTTTTATATTTAAATTGTGTTTGATAAAAAGATTAGATGGAAAGATAACAACATACCATTAAATCATATTTTATCACTTAAATTGAACTTCTGAAACCATTATATACGAGACAGTATATTTTGATCATCTATCATAGTTTTATTCATAAATCAAAAGGTGTTAAGAAGGCCAGGTTGTATTACAATGGAGTACCTTCATCCAAAGGATAGTTTTATTTGAAAGAAGAATTTCACATTCTTATGTTTTCGTTTAGTAAAACATTTTCTGAAACTATATCAACAATTATTGCTAGTTTATGTTAAAGACCTAACAGTAATTTGGAGGTTTCCTAGAAATTTCCCAAAACTCATTCTTGTCCTATATGAATCATTTTCCATTTTGAGGTTGGAATTTAAATTTAAAAAGTTTTTAATCTTATTAAACTTTTTGTTACTGATGGTCCTCTAATTTGTCATCATCACATATAATGGCATGTATAAGAGAAAATATTAGTCCATTGCCCATAACACCTTGCAATCTTTTTTTGTATTGAGTTGTCCTTTTCATTTGGAAACTTACCAAATATTGTGTTTAAAACAACCGTTTTTTTTGTACTATTGCGATCTTTCAACTCATAATTGTTGACAATTAAATGAAGTTTTCGTTTTTAGTTTAATATGACCATGCAATGAAAGGGTGATGCGAAAAAAAGGGTCAAAAATTAATGTTTTTATGAAAATCCAAGGGATACAAGTTTACAATATTAAGAAGGCATCAAAGTTTTTAATATTTTAAGGATTAAATTTGTCTCAATTTTCGCCCGGGGGGAAAGTACATGTACCGGAAAATATAATTTCTCTGCAGTATCAAATGAGGGACATTTTACAGCTGTTTTACGATACTTGACGCCTGTTGTTTGTGAATGATAAAAAAGGAAAACATATTTCTTGAAAATTAAAGACTCGGTTTGAATAAGTATGCTCATAAAATAAAGTTTATATATAACACCTCTTTCTTCCATAACACTTGCTTTAGCGTTTAACTTTGTTAAACACCAAACGTGCTGCAATCTTTTTCTCTATTATATTAAAAAATCTCACATAACTTTTGCTACATGTTCAAGTATAACAACACTTGTTATAACAAGAACTTCGTCATTTCGGATCAAATTCGGGTGTTATCAAAATGTGTTCCATTTGGATTTTATTTTTGCAAGTGATGAATGCATTTAATGAAGATAAGTTTGTACATATATTTAAAAGTTTTTGTTGTTATCATTATTGAAATAAAATATTAATGATTGTTCTATCTTCAGAGACAATCACATATCATCCTGATCAGACAAATGCGAATTTAAACAAATGAGATGGAACCATTGGTAATATTTATCATATTTTTTGTATTTACATTCCTTAATAGATTACGCATAATATATAGTTGCAAGATAATTGTTTTTTACTTATTTTTACCTTATTAATATGCTTGTTTGCTGATTTTGAATAATCCAAACAGAAAGTCATCGTATTTTCAAGTCAAAAGCAAGCATACAAGATGAAATATCAAACCTAATTTTGAAATTCATTCATAGGAAAGCAAACCTCTAAAACTATTCTCATTACTGTTACAGAAGAACTGTGATGTCACTAGAGGACATGAACACTACCTTTGTCATATATTATTACTGGAACAAACTTCACCCATCGCATTGAAGGCCATAATTAAAAGAGAAGAGAAAAAATGTGAAAAAACCATATTGGTATTTTGCTAAAATGAGAATAGAGATGCGTTAACAACCCAGTGCGAAACAGAGTTTCTTTCAATTAATTCAAGAAGATGCTGTCAATGACGACATTGATACGTGGGACATACTTCAATTATGTGCTGTGACATTAGTTTTGTTTAGATCTGATCTAACTGAACCTGAAGTTAAAGCCATTCAATGTATATATAGATCAGAGGAAAGATATTAAACAATACACCGAATGTGCCTCCCTAACATTCAATATCTACAACGAGAAACAACATTTATTACACGAGAAATTACTCGAATTGATAACATTCGTAGACGACCAAGCCAATCTTGATTGTAAACGTATGATGTTTTCAATTGCATCAAAATCAATGAAATTAAGCGAAACACAGATATGCAAACTAACACAGACAAATGACATCAAAACTCATCTTAAAATTGCAATTGATATACATGTCGTAACAGAGAATGATATCATTGGCGAAGAGAACGATCCAAAGCTTCAGACCAATGGTAAGTATTTGTGTTACAGTATGAATTTGAATTTATTCATATGGTCATCTTGCATCCAAATACATTACTTTATGATTATGTTTGTATGCAAGTTTTAAGATAGTGTTAATATTTGGCAATAGCGATATAATTGTTTTAGATAGCCAGGATCGAAATTCAATATAAAATTTAGTGAGCATTCATATGTGTATATTCTAAATTTGTATTCAAAGTAAGTGAAACTGATACAATACATGGCCAAATCAAATGATATATAATACATTATATGCTATATGCAAAGTATATCATAAAAATATGAGATCGTGTTCAATTTAATAATGACACGAGCAGTTTAACGCCTCGGTAACAGTATTTTACGATGGATGATATTTTTTACTGTTCATCACAAAGACATATGTTATTTATTATATTACCCCCGAACGAATACTGCAATAAACTGAAAAGTTCAACTTAATCTAAACTGTAACAAAAATTGAACCCAAGAGTAACAAATAACTCAACAGTTCTTGCCTTACAAGTTGTAAGATGACTTGAAAAGTTTCTCTTTCTTTTATTCTTTAAGGGAATGATGATTTAGGATATCTACCAGTCTTAAACATAACATAAGCTGTATTTCATTTCCATTTCGATGGTATCCTACAATTGACTACCACAATTGTCTTGTTTCACTATTGAAATTCGTGAAATAATCTTTTTTGCATGCTTTAATCGTCTGCTTGTTCATTTTGACACCTAATAAATCCAATGCAATAACTTCCTAAGAAAATTAATCTTAATTTCTAACTATTCAAAACTTTAATAACCAAAACACAATAAAGACGCAACATACTTTCAAGATCCAAACAACTAAAGTTTCTGGCTATCAATAGTCTATCTGGTAATGGCCCTTCGTGGTGAAAATCGAAAAAAAAAGAGGTTGAATCGAGAAAAACGAATGACTGCCATATTTGTTTTAGAAAATAAACCACGTGACCAGATTTTATACTCTTAAAAAGTAATATTACCTATGTAACAGAACAAAATTCTTATTTACGTAGTACACTTGCATTGACTATATGTATAACTCCCAGTGACCTATGGGAAATTAACATTACCAAGTAAGTGAGGGGTAATAATAACTTGATATAGCTGAATTATAATCTTATAAACAAAATACAATATACTTCAGGCCAAATGTTCACTGAAGAACTTCAGAACAAAAATGTCTACATAAATGATTCAGCTATTTTGACATGTCAACTCAACCTTCCAACAGATGAAAATGTTGACTGGAGGAAAGATTACAAGCCGGTTGAAATTTCAAACAATTTAATGGTCATGAGCAAGAATGGCAATCATTGGTTAGCGATTTCCCGTGCATCATTAGAAGATACAGGTCAATATACGTGTGTATGTGGCCATATTTCAACGTCAGCTGATCTTACTGTTATAGGTACGCTTTAATTGGTTTATAACAACAACACGTGTGTTCTTTTTCCATGCTTAGAAACAGATAACGAAAAAAACCATAGTTTTTTCCCTGGTACTATTTTAAAATTTCAACCCATTTCGGGAAAAACCCGGGGATAGAAAACTAAAAATCAGAGGGACGAAGATTTTTGATTTTCGCTGAAAATTAAGTTTATTTTTACAACCTTTTTAATTTTTAAATTAAACAGTAAATTTGAACGAAATAAAACCCAAAAAAGACAAAAAATGAAAATTAAATGTAAAAAGAGTTTATAGCAAAAAATGCAAAATATTTTGTTAAAAAGTCTTTTTTCCCTAACCCAAAAAATTGTTTCTTCCCTTTTAAATTTCAAGGACAGGGGCACAAAATATTTTAAAAAATTTTACGGAAAAATTTTCCCACTTGTAAAAATTTGTTAAAGACAACCCTATTTTTTTGGGGTTTTTCTTGAGTACATCCTTGAAAAAGACAACACCCTTTGGGGTTCTTTAAAAAATTAAATTTATTTTAATGTACGACTTATTTTCAAAAAAATATGTTTGTTTATTTTTTGCATACATAATCGCAATATTAGATTTAATATCGAATTACAAATTAAGTATGATTCGTTCATTTATCATTATCCCAATATTTTTTAACAGATGAAGCATTAAGTGTGGTCGTTCATCTCCCAGTCAAGATTGCGGTTATTGACATGGAAACATTGATATAGAATGTAAGGTGAACCTGCTGACGAGTAAACCTGACTGGCGACACAAAGGGGAACTTCTACAATCATCTGGTAGAAAGGTTATACAAGCAAAGGGTTCTACACACACATTGATGATCACGAATATAACATTAGACGACGAGGGTGAATATACAGTTGACTTTGGAAATGTCTCATCTAAAACAACAGTTCAAATACAAGGTCAAAATATTTGAATGTTATCTTCGTTTTTGTAATATTGACACTATTTATATAGTTGGTTTTATTCTCTATCAGGTCCTTTACATAAAAGTCAATATTTTTTTAAAAAATTATTTGGTTCAAAGCTGGTATTTCTAAAAAGCATACAATGCATTTAATTTCATACCTATTTGTCAGATACAAGAAAATAATTGGTTCAATTTTCTTAAATTTATTTTAGTGGAAACAGACCTTATCCACAGAAAACAGATAACACAAGAATTGTACAGAAATTGGATGAGAGGAGCTCTAGCGTTAAAATATTTAAAAATAGGTTTAGAAGGTTTTTCCGACAAGGCTGTTCACAAACAACATAATGAACTAATGAAAAAACTTGGAAACTCCTGCAGCACTTGTACAGAGGAAAGTCTTCTCCCACATAAACAAGATCAATGCCCACGACAAAGAAAACATCAATGTTTATGTACCAAAGGTCAGAAACAGAAGTCAAGACAAATGTGCCCAAACGGGGGATTTTGTGGCAACGTTTATAATCAAATAGTTTATAAACATCGCTTTCAAGATCCATTATTCACAAATACAGATATCCAGAAATGGAGCAGTGATGCGTGGAGTGTTGCTACATGCTTTGTTAATACTACTGGCTACAAAGGCAAACAATCAGCTAAAGATGTCGACTGCTCTGGTTTACTTAGTATGTGTATAAACAACATTGATATAGAAATAATGCTTGGAGGAGTTACCATCGATGGTAAAATAGATGCGTTTGCAAAGGTACACATCTTCACCACAGTAATCATTGTTGTAATTATTGTTGTATGTAATTTCAATTGAACAGTGTATATACATGTTTATATTTAGCCTTTGCTATGCAAGTCTAGACCAGTCTTTTCGAATTGGTTTTAAAATTGATTAATTTATAAGTGAAGTATTTTAGCAACAAATTAAAAATGAGACTTTAGATACTTAAGTGTTACTTTTGCAGGCAAGAGAAGCAAGGAACGATATTCTTCACAGTCCAAACTATGAACTATCTGAAAATCAACTAAACACGTTTATCATAATGTTCAAAGAAGTACTAGAAATCCAGGACAAACATGGTAATACACCTTTGGAAGGGGAGTCAGGCGTAGATGTAGCATTACGTTTACTAGATATGGTAATACTCCTATTGGAATGATATAGTATAACGTTTTAGGAAGTAGTAGAAATCAGAGTCAAACATGGCAATACACCCCTGAATGGGAATCCCGACGTTGCACACGCATTACATTCACTAGATATGGTAATTAACATATAAGAGTAATGTAGTGATTATAAAGACAAGATTAGCCGATTTTGGATACATTTTATTGGTTCTTTATTGGTATTTGTTTGGATTAAATCGCATTTCTCTCTATATTAAGAATACATTAATCAAATTTGTAATATTTCTTGCACATTATACTTTAGCAAATTCTTTATGTTTACCACTGGTTATTTTGTAACAGATGTATGTTATAAATAAAATAGTACGTTCAGGTCCTTTTGCATAAGTGTTAAATAGAGGATATTTGTGTGTTTTGCATGTCACTGAGTGAACACCAGATGCAATATTTAGCTGGTGTTCACGAATGAAATATATTTCAATCTTATATGTAAAACAAATAAATTTTATTTTTATTTCATGCTTTTTAAGTGATTTTAAGTATTTTCTACTGATTTTGCCGCGTAACTTTGCGCATTCTCCTTTGTGACGTCATCACATCATGACGTCACATCATCAGTTTTGAAATATAGTTCTGTTAAATTTCTCTAATTTTGTTACATTTTAACATCATGTATGGTGACGTCGACTTTCTTTTCCTAAAGAAGCAAAATTTACGTATGACGACATTTATTTCTGCCTGTTATTCCATTTAGTTATGATTTTCTTTTCATCCGCATTCAGATATAGTCCAGATACAGTGAAAATTATATTTTATAAATTTCACTAGTGGTTTATCAGAATATAATCATCTGATATATTACAATAAAACTCTGGAAAGCATGAAATAAAACATTTTATTGCGTATGCTAGAAAGTACAATATTGTCTAAAGTAGTAAGTACATTATTTACTATAATAGTAAGTACATTATAGACTATAATAGTAAGTACAATCTTTGTATTTGTTCTAATGAATCACTCTGTTTCCTCTTGCGAACGTGAGCTCGTTACCTTTTGCCTTTTCACACATTTACACGGACAATAATTTGAGTATTAAAAAGATTGCAAGAATACCAGATAAAAAATGTTCAACAAAGCTTATTACATATCAACAATTCGGCAGTGTGTTGTAAAAAGATTTAACCTGGTAAATCTAAAGTTTATTTAAACCTACCCATGTATTAATTCTTTGCTTTCAAGGCCCAATATGCATTCTGTCATTTTTGTTATGACATCATTCTTCAAATGAGTTTACGGACCGGAGTCCTATCATAAATTTCTTACAGGTGCAACAAAATCAGATTGAGATAAACCTTGAATATGAGATGAGAGAGCTAAGAGAGCATGGGATGTCTAGATTAGAAGAGAAATACAAAACAGCACAAAAACAGGCAAGTTTTTACAGCTAATGCATTTGAGTATTGTTATATCATGCTTTTACGACCGATAAAGTAAGGCAATAATAAAGTAAGGCAATGTTGATTTTCAAGTCTCATAAAATGGATATTAAGTTCAAAAGCTCTTTGGAAAATACTGTGATTCTAAAGGTGTTTAATTGTATACGAATCATTACTGAGAAAGAGATGTTATCACTTGTTATTCTGTTAGCCAGCATGCACGCTTGATTAAATAGCCTCGTTTAGATTTCTTTAACTTAAAGAATACACTGAGGCAAATATTACATTCGTGAGTACTTGTAAAGAATATAATTCTAAATGGCATGACAGTGTTATTACGTAAATAAACTTCGTTGTCATCAACAGTTCTTTTCTTCCGAATTATATTTTAGATAATCAAAGGTAGTATTTGGACGGAGGTATATATAGTGTTCCGTCAATATTATAATGGGTCTTAGAGAATTAGGAATTAAATGAAAATTACTAAAATCAATATAATTAAAATGAAGTTTCTCCTTCGTCATGTTTATGTACGATAAGCGCATGATTCGAATAATATATATAATGTAACACTTTGTAAACTTTTCTTTCTTCAGCATGAATTGAAACTTCAACTGATAGAGCAACAGATAAAAGGTTTGTCCTTAAGTTTTAATTTGAACAAATAAGAGCTTGTCCTAATTCTACTTGGCCATTAGACCATGATTTAAAATTAAACATAATTATTAACGAGATATGTAACAGTGTAGTTCAAAAATCCTGTATCCGTTTGAAAAGAATTACATTTATTCCTTTAAATTGCACAACTTCATACATTGGTTCCTTTTTATGATAGAACTGTTGGATTTGACAAAACAGTAACATTATGCATAATTGACATAAGGTTTTAAAACTTAATTTATTGCAAAATAAATGTTTTTATGGTCACTTACAAGCTTGATGGTGGGTTTCATTAGGTCTTTAGTCATAGGTCGAAATATATTGGGTTCGAAAAAGCCGTACTAGTAAGTACACTAAGGTTATCGTTATGAGTAAGTACAATGTGATAATTGATGCTGATTAAGTCCGCCATTTTAGAAGAAGAAATAATTCATAACAATTTTCAATAAATTGCTTTTATACACGGTAATTATACTTTGTTTGATCGCTCATTAGTCCAGGAAGGTTACAACTTATCCGGCAATAGCTAACACTGTAGGAATGTTTGCCACAGTTTGGTATTTTGACTGTCTTTGTTTTCACATTTTTGTAAACAAAGGAATCTGTGTCTACAGTACGTTTTGCGATTGGATTACTGCATAATGTGTATAAAAACACCGGTGGATGATTAACTCTTCAATTCTATGTTAGTAAAATGTCTATACTAATATTAGGAACATCTCATATACACTGGTTGGAACGATTTCTTCGACAAAAGGGTAACAATAACAAATCTTTAACGTTGGTGGCGATGCTAGCCCGGCCCCAGATGTACATTTCCGAAGTATAAATGGAGGAAAGATTTACAATAAACACCACGTTAACTGTTGAGAACTGAGTGTATCAGAACTGCATCCAAAATGCTTTATCGTACAATTAGGTGGAAACGATATTGTTTCACTAGTGCATCACTGGAACTTCTTGTTTTGTGAATAGTCAACATTTTCGCAACATTTCAAGTTCGATACAACATTGCGGAGGTTGTGGTGTTGCAGTTTATTCTCAGACCTAGGCCACGTTATTTATACCAGAGATACAGGAGATACAGTTGTTTAGGCAGTAGCGGATTTTAGGGTATAGCGGATAACATGCCAATATTCCGGATCGACTACATAATAAGTACATACCAACAAGTGAAAAGTGAAATTTCCTGGATCTCAAGTGAAGAAGACAATTATTTACCTTACATCTTAGTCCCAAAGTGAACTTGGGACTGATATGAATTGTGGTTTAATGTGATAGTTATATATTATCAAATTATTGTAAGGACTATGTTTGCACATTTACATGAAAATTGCTAGTGAAATATTTGTTTTTTTTGTTTGTTTTTTTATACATAATGTTCTTGCATCCATTATTGTTATTATACATTTATGAATTTAAATAGTTAGGAGGTAATAATGCCTTAATTTTAAGGTGGTTTATTCGACTTTAGTTGTAAAGTCCCTAAGAATTAGCAGTTTGTTAAAGTCCTTAATTGTAAGGAATACTTTAGTTAAATGTGCCTTACTTGTAAGTAATTGTTTAAAGCTAAATATTATTTTAGTAAATTACGCCTTAATTTTAAGGTGGTTTATTCGACTTTAGTCGTAAAGTCCCTAAGAATAAGCAGTTTGTTAAAGTCCTTAATTGTAAGGAATAGTTTAGTTAAATGTGCCTTAGTTGTAAGGTAATTGTTTAATGCTAAATATTATTTTAGTAAAATACGCCTTGATTTTAAGGTGGTTTATTCGACTTTAGTCGTTAGGTCCCTAAGAATTAGCAGTTTGCTAAAGTCCTTAATTGTAAGGAATACTTTAGTTAAATGTGCCTTAGTTGTAAGGTAATTGTTTAATGCTAAATATTATTTTAGTAAAATACGCCTTAATTTTAAGGTGGTTTATTCGACTTTAGTCTTAAAGTCCCTAAGAATTAGCAGTTTGCTAAAGTCCTTAATTGTAAGGAATACTTTAGTTAAATGTGCCTTAGTTGTAAGGTAATTGTTTAATGCTAAATATTATTTTAGTAAAATACGCCTTAATTTTAAGGTGGTTTATTGGACTTTAGTCGTAAAGTCCCTAAGAATTAGCAGTTTGCTAAAGTCCTTAATTGTAAGGAATACTTTAGTTAAATGTGCCTTAATTGTAAGGTAATTGTTTACTGCTAAATATTATTTTAGTAAAATACGCCTTAATTTTAAGGTGGTTTATTCGACTTTAATTGTAAAGTCCCTAAGAATTAGCAGTTTGCTAAAGTCCTTAATTGTAAGGAATACTTTAGTTAAATGTGCCTTAATTGTAAAGTAATTGTTTACTGCTAAATATTATTTTAGTAAAATACGCCTTAATTTTAAGGTGGTTTATTGGACGTTAGTCTTAAAGTCCCTAAGAATTAGCAGTTTGCTAAAGTCCTTAATTGTAAGGAATACTTTAGTTGAATGTGCCTTAGTTGTAAGGTAATTGTTAAATGCTAAATATTATTTTAGTAAAATACGCCTTAATTTTAAGGTGGTTTATTGGACTTTAGTCGTAAAGTCCCTAAGAATTAGCAGTTTGCTAAAGTCCTTAATTGTAAGGAATACTTTAGTTACATGTGCCTTAATTGTAAGGTAATTGTTTACTGCTAAATATTATTTTAGTAAAATACGCCTTAATTTTAAGGTGGTTTATTGGACTTTAGTCGTAAAGTCCCTAAGAATTAGCAGTTTGCTAAAGTCCTTAATTGTAAGGAATACTTTAGTTAAATGTGCCTTAATTGTAAGGTAATTGTTTACTGCTAAATATTATTTTAGTAAAATACGCCTTAATTTTAAGGTGGTTTATTCGACTTTAGTTGTAAAGTCCCTAAGAATTAGCAGTTTGCTAAAGTCCTTAATTGTAAGGAATACTTTAGTTAAATGTGCCTTAATTGTAAGGTAATTGTTTACTGCTAAATATTATTTTAGTAAAATACGCCTTAATTTTAAGGTGGTTTATTCGACTTTAATTGTAAAGTCCCTAAGAATTAGCAGTTTGCTAAAGTCCTTAATTGTAAGGAATACTTTAGTTAAATGTGCCTTAATTGTAAGGTAATTGTTTACTGCTAAATATTATTTTAGTAAAATACGCCTTAATTTTAAGGTGGTTTATTCGACTTTAGTCGTTAGGTCCCTAAGAAATAGCAGTTTGCTAAAGTCCTTAATTGTAAGGAATACTTTAGTTACATGTGCCTTAATTGTAAGGTAATTGTTTAATGCTAAATATTATTTTAGTAAAATACGCCTTAATTTTAAGGTGGTTTTTTGGACTTTAGTCGTAAAGTCCCTAACAATTAGCAGTTTGCTGAAGTCCTTAATTGTAAGGAATACTTTAGTTAAATGTGCCTTAATTGTAAGGTAATTGTTTACTGCTTAATATTATTTTAGTAAAATACGCCTTAATTTTAAGGTGGTTTATTCGACTTTAGTTGTAAAGTCCCTAAGAATTAGCAGTTTGCTAAAGTCCTTAATTGTAAGGAATACTATAGTTAAATGTGCCTAAATTGTTAGGTAATTGTTTACTGCTAAATATTATTTAAGTAAAATACGCCTTAATTTTAAGGTGGTTTATTCGACTTTAGTCGTTAGGTCCCTAAGAAATAGCAGTTTGCTAAAGTCCTTAATTGTAAGGAATACTTTAGTTACATGTGCCTTAATTGTAAGGTAATTGTTTAATGCTAAATATTATTTTAGTAAAATACGCCTTAATTTTAAGGTGGTTTTTTGGACTTTAGTCGTAAAGTCCCTAAGAATTAGCAGTTTGCTAAAGTCCTTAATTGTAAGGAATACTTTAGTTAAATGTGCCTTAATTGTAAGGTAATTGTTTACTGCTAAATATTATTTTAGTAAAATACGCCTTAATTTTAAGGTGGTTTATTCGACTTTAGTTGTAAAGTCCCTAAGAATAAGCAGTTTGCTATAGTCCTTAATTGTAAGGAATACTTTAGTTAAATGTGCCTAAATTGTTAGGTAATTGTTTACTGCTAAATATTATTTTAGTAAAAAACGCCTTAATTTTAAGGTGGTTTATTCGACTTTAGTTGTAAAGTCCCTAAGAATTAGCAGTTTGTTAAAGTCCAGGCATATGGTCATCTTGTGCATTTAAAAAGTATATAAGAATTCCTATGTTACAAGTGTAATTAATGGCAAATGGATAGCAGTCCTCTAACACATGCATAATAAGTTTTTACATGCATTAATTGTAAGCAGCATTCACAAGATTTGTAAAAACAATTTGTTAACTTTGTTGTCATAAGGACAAGGGCCTTTGACATATAGCCATAGTCATTCTGCTTTGATTACATTTTCTTTCAAATTAATATGATTTCAATGTACAACTTTGCACAAATAATGCAAATAATTTGTAAACATGTCTTTTTCTAGCATTACAACAGTCACTAAATTAAGTTATGTCATGGGGACAGGGACCTCTGACAGTAAGGTGTTTTCAAACAATATATATTTGTTTAACCATTGTGCCAATTTGAAGTACCTGGAGTTTGCTATTTAACACTTTTTCTTTTCAATCTTTAATATCTTTGCATCAGAATGCACATAATCCTTTTTTATGTATTTTTCAAGGAATGGCGGCAATTATTACAATCACAACATCACTTTCTGTCATGGGGACACGGGCCTCTGACAAAAACTTGTTTTCAAACACAGACACTCACTTGTAAGTTTGTGCCAATAATATGTTATATGTTCATATTACGATATTAGAATTTGTATATCTCTTGTTATGTACGTTCAATTTTAAATTCATGATTATTCCTTTGTGTTAAGGTAAATTAAAACTTCATGTCTTAGGTTAAGATGCCAGCATGGTTATATTTTAATTTGTATCAATTTAAGATCTACTTGGATATTACACATATGGTGATATCAGTATACACCTTTACTCTAAAAAGGTAATCTAAATACAGACAACATTTATTTCAGTCACAAGTTTACTTTATGTCATGGGGACAAGGGCCTCTGACATACAAGGTGCCTTCTAACACATACAGTCAATTAAATCCGTAGTGCCAATAAAAATGTTGTCTTATATTAGGTAGTTTAGTTATCATCTTGTGATGTACATATTTTTAATATTCTTGTTTATTTCATTAGCATTGTTTCAAACATTTAAAGAATAATTTTGTTTGTCCCCTTTTACATGACTAGTCAATTTCATTAAAGAAGTTTTGGTTGGGGGAATTGTGTTTTACACAATTTGTGGCAATATTCTTAGAACCCAACCTTTGATAATTTTTCGGGATATGTGTGTATATCATTTTTTAGAAATGTTTGCTTGCTTTGTATACAATGTTATGTTATATTATAACTTTCATATCAGCATTGTTTTATATGTTTATATCATAATGTCATTTATTATTAAATGGCCATTTCACAATTTTATGTTAGTTTGATAACTTTCATATCAACATTGTATTATATGTTTTTCCGTCATTTATTATTAAATGGCCATTTCAATTTCAAAGTGTAGTTGTTATTCTTGAAAATTATCAAACAGAGAAAACTTCTTCAGGCAAAGATACAACAAATTGAAATGTTGACATAAAACTTAATTTATTGCAAAATAAATGTTTTTATGGTCACTTACAAGCTTGATGGTGGGTTTCATTAGGTCTTTAGTCATAGGTCGAAATATATTGGGTTCGAAAAAGCCGTACTAGTAAGTACACTAAGGTTATCGTTATGAGTAAGTACAATGTGATAATTGATGCTGATTAAGTCCGCCATTTTAGAAGAAGAAATAATTCATAACAATTTTCAATAACCCACCATCCCACCCACATTCAGTATTCAATTTTTGACAAGCTTATAAACATCAAAAACGTTTTGTGTTTGTTTATAATTTTATATACAAATGATTTTTCTTTTCACTTCAAGATATGTGTGTATATTAATTTCATACACAGTTTTAGGCAAGGCAAGGCAATATTCTTAGAACCCAACCTTTGATAATTTTTCGGGATATGTGTGTATATAATTTTATATACATTTTTCAGAAAGGTTTGCTTGCTTTGTATACAATGTTATGTTATATTATAACTTTCATATCAGCATTGTTTTATATGTTTATATGTCATTTATTATTAAATGGCCATTTCACAATTTTATGTTAGTTTGATAACTTTCATATCAACATTGTATTATATGTTTTTCCGTCATTTATTATTAAATGGCCATTTCATTTTCAAAGTGTAGTTGTTATTCTTGAAAATTATCAAACAGAGAAAACTTCTTCAGGCAAAGATACAACAAATTGAAATGTTGACATAAACGTATGTTATACTGGTATACTCGTACAATAAGTATAAATATCTACAAAGGGAAAGAAGAATTTAAAAAATGAAGCTACAAAAAGAATCAGATTTTGAAATGAAAATGATGGTTGAATAGACATATATCAGGAAAAAGGTGTTTGAGGATTTGACACTATAAAATGTTTATATAAATGAGGTCATGCAATAAACATTTTCTTTAAAAAACGTCTTTATTTCTATAAAAATAAACAATCAAAAGAACATCAGATTTCACAAAAAGATAATATTGCTTGTAAAAGAATCATCAATTAATAATTATAGTAATTTCATCTGTAATAGAAAACATTCCCGAGTTTGCAGACTTTGTCTTTTAAATGGCTTGTAACTATCAACAGAAAAAGTGTTGTGTTGTTATTGTTTAAAAGTTAACACACACAGGTGTTGGGATGTTGAAATTATCTTGCAAAATATCTGGTCTAAAAATGTATTCTTCCCATTCATATACATGCCGAATTAGTTTTAAAAAAAAGGATATGCATTTACTCTGTTTAGCATTATTGAATATTATTTACATTAATTTCCATTATTGGTCGAGTTGTGTTTTTATTTACAGATAAAGAAAACGAACTTCAGCTTATGCTCAATCTTAGATCTGCGGGAAAACAAAAGAATCTTAAAGGTACTTAATGAAAAATAAATACTTAAAAACCTTTGAATCCACCGCTCTTATTTGTTAAGAATTAAAGATGTGTTATCATTGAAAAGAAAACAAAAGGAAAACAAATTAAGAACATAATATTATTTTATATTTTCATTTGTTTGAGGACTAACTCGAGAATGTAACTAAAACGAGTTGAACTAATAAGATTAGAAATATATCAAAAATTCATTGTCAAAGGACCATTTCTCTAAATTGTCCTTGTTGTTCTTGCATAAAAACTGCGGACGTAGGTGTATATTAACGTAGACGGGAACATGCTTTTACAGATAAAATTACGAAAGCATGCACTTTGTTTTTAAATATGCATGACTCAGGGCGCCATGTGTAACGGATAAAAACGGGAAGTCATGACGACACCTGTGTTACAGTTATGTGGAAAAAATAACAGACGCAAATGTATAACTTATTTTAAGAATAGCGATAATACACAATTTGTGCCTGCATTATATCTGCATATTTTGATCCACGTTAAACCGTGCATTAATTCTCTTTTTTTTTCAGAGCACTTCTTGCTTGATCTACAGATAAATGTTATGCTAAAAATGGTGAAAAAAGTGCTGAAGGGAATCAACGAGTTTTTGAAGTAATGAGAGACTATATTAAAGATAACGAAGATATGACTGGTTCGCCTTTTGATGAAAGATCAACTGATACACCAGTCTATCACCTCGTAGATTTCATCAAGGAAATAAAGAAATGTAGTATTGTTGATATTTCTGCCACCGACCAATCGTCAACAGACATACAATCAACTGCACCAGTTCGAAGGCCATGGAAGATTTTCTTAAGTCTATCATCAGTAACGAATTTCAACAAGAACTGTTTGACCTTAGACGATGGCTACAAGTGCAACATGACATTGAATCGTATGACATAATGGCAAATTGCTCATCAAATGGCATAGAGAAAGCAAAACAACGTCTGCGTGAGTTAAAAATGAATAATAATGATTTATGATGCCTTTTAGATTTAACTGTGTTTTCTGCTCCTGTCGGTGCATTTGTAATCAGTGCATATTAATAGTATTAATTGATTTATCAAAATTAATTAAAAAATTGTTAGCTCTTTATTGTTAAGATATCTAAGGATTATTGAAAAACTTAATACGTTAATATTTTTTATTCTGTAATCACAAAAACATGTACAGATATTTGAAAACGTAAAATTACTGTCTTCAGACTTTACTGGAGTAACCAGATCTTTGAATTGTGCCGAACATCAAAATACACAAACTCAATGTACTCTCTATTGTCCTGACCATGACACGTTTTTATGTACAGCATGCAGAGAATCAAAACATGGGTAATTATACATTTCTTAAAATCAGTAATTAATAGTGGTTAATATAGAACAAAAGGTATCAAATTAAACAAACGAATTTTAAAATCGTGCAACAATGACCGACAACTTATCTGTCAGAAACATTTAAGTTTGATTATCTCTTAAAAAAATTGTAAACAAATTATAAGAATTTATAGTTTGGAAAAAGATAAAGATTTGAAACTTTAATATACCCGACACTTTAATTGTATCCCTCATTTTAGCATATTGAAATAATTTAAATTTATTTGGTAAGTAAGACGAATGAAATATATTATAGTCATCACCTTTGATAAATATTCGAGTGTTGGCAGAATAATAAGTCTTTTCGTTATAGCGATTGGCCGATGTATCATTTGGTCTACACTGAGATACAGTGGGCGACTAAATAGTTTCTTTTGGTTTTGACCCCCGTTGTTGCTTTGACGTTTGTAGCATCCGAGGTTAGCCAAAATTATCCCTTTCTGTTTCCGGAGTAATATGACCTTAACTGTGTTGACCAGTACGCCGTAAAACCAAACAAACAAACAAGGCTAACAAAATATTTTATATATTCTAGCAAATTCTAGCAAAGCTAATAGTTCTTTGTATTTATTTAACAGTTAACTTTTAATTAGAATAATACCTTAAGTCCTTAAAAAGTGCAAGGTATTTATTAAAGGGATTACGCGCTGGTTTGTCTTTTGTTTTGTGATATTCTGACATGCTTATTCTATACAATTTACCAAAAAAATTATTTTAAGCTTGTAATTGCTGTTTTCACATTTTTATACATGTCTTTTTTCCTGAAACTGATCGTATTTATTTTATTTTGTAAACATGCAAACTATTATTGCATGATTATTATTATTAAAATTTATTATCTTATCAGTAATCAAAATTAGCTCTTTAACATCATGCGATGCACCTATGATTCAAACATCATATCAACAGCCTTCTGTGTAATTTAGTTACTAATACATTGGGTTTTTTTTGTGTTTGCTGTATAATTGGCCCTTCATTTATAGGGCAGATAATTTGTACAACTTATGAAAGTAACAACCATTTTCTGAACATGAGGAATATTTGCACTTCGATTTTGAACAACATCTTTCTTAGAGGTTAATACTTAGTTCCCCTGCTAGCCATTGTGCGATAATGGCCCGACGATGTTCATAATTACACGAGGACCGCAGAACCTCGGTGTCCAATATCACCACAACGGCGGGCAGGAAAAAAGTAATAACGTTTTAAAACCTACGGAATACCGTTGAATGAGTCGTGGTCAGCAGATTTAATGACTGTACGTCATTCGAAAAAATAATGACAGCTAAACGTACTGCACTATCGTATTATGCCATCACATTATCGCATTGTCGCATATCGGACCGTCGTATAACCACGTAGACCTTACGGTTTTTCCATAAATATACATACATTTCAATAATCGCCGCTTGTCTTGGTTGTCGCAAATTTCTAAAAATACGTAAAGGTTGTCAATTTATAACAAATATGTCTGTCATTCAGTTAACAAACTAGCAATTGATAGAAGGAAGGGGCAGACCTTTTGCACATATGCTTATAAATAAACACGAAACTTACAGAATTATAGTACAAATAATGTGTTCATACATTTGGTTTATAATAGCGGCTGGTTTACGTTTATACACCTGTCCAGTTTTTGGCAAATTTAAACACATTTTCTGAGCGCTTTAAAAATGATTTAATACCAGAAATTTATCGAAATAAGGTGTGGAACTAGTTTTCCCCAAATGCAAGTGCATACGATTATATATGAAATTTATATTGTATAAACGTACAGTCAGTTTTACACGTGCAATATAAATTGATAGAATGTGTATGCATAAATCCAGAAATGTCTTCGTGGGACAGAATTTCAATAACCGTTTTCTGTCTGTCATACATGTGTATATGTACTTTTTATGTCTGTTAATCTCGGGCTGTTACCGAGCTTCGCTCAATCTTGACTGTGCGAAACGGGGTACGCATCAGGTAGGCCTATATCCGGGTCAGGATTTGTATACATGTAATGTGGGAAAATTAAAAAAGTTAACTGCAAATAACTACAGCCTACCTACAGACGTCTTGGATTAAATTTGGACCTGTAAGCGATAGTATTATAGCTGCCTTTTCTGTTTCAACTGTTTGCATGCACTGACATTAGTTTTTTTTATTAAGAAAAAAATCGATTAATGTTCAAAATCGTCTTCTTACTGCTCGGTCAAGCGATGTCCGACCTAGACAAAAAGTGCATTTTCGCTTTAAAATTCCATCTTTTGTCGTACTAACTGGTCTAATATTGTACATTTGTCGAAATATAAATCATTTTTGCGTAGATTACACTTTATTTGGTTAAAATTGGTTGGTTTACAATTAACAAAGATCTCGGAGGTAAAATAAAGCCTGGTGGAAATTCCGCTGGCGAACCTTTCTACCTTTACTATATTTATAAAATATTATGGATGAAATTTTTAAAAACAACTTTCCTTTGTTGTTTTATTAAAAACAATTTATTATAAAAACAAGTGAAAAAATTGTTTATTAGTGAAAAAAAAATATTTATAAAAATAAGTAGGCGTGGTCATGTACATGTATACTATCCAAGCCACGCACCGACTGTCTGTGATAGTTATCGATGGCACCGATACCTCTTGAGCGGGAGAAATCATTGTAAACGGAAACAATGAGCGACCTATTTTTATTAATAGATATACATTACTTATTCAGGAAATAACAATGATATTCGAATAGTAATTTAAATCATTAGAAAACGTCAGTTGTAATGTCACAAGGCATATTAAATATACTGGCAAATGTTCCCTTCTATAGTTATTGTCTTTGTTCAAATCTTAACATACACGCCCTTTAAATACATATTGTATTCATAGTTATTGTTCATAGTTAATTTAATTTGAAATTAACCTGTTGTTTGTTAGTTTGTAAGTAACGACTTTATTTAAGGTGGCTTACACATTTGGTTTTCCAATCTTCCAAGTGGGTCTCAGCTGAAGTACATAATTACAATGAAAAAAAGAACAGTTTACATATACACCATATATACACAACGTATATATACAGACGTCATATTGCAATGTTAGCCATGTTTTAAAATGTCTATAATTAAAGTCATGTCATTAAAACTAGTGTAAAAGTCCATAGAACTTTCTGCACTATGCTAGATGATTGTATAGCTAGTGTTTGTCAATAATTTTGTCTGTGATATTGTTTTTATTCATAGTCATAAATGAACATTTTGTCAATAAAATAATGGTGTTTTTCTTTTTCTTTTTATAAAGCACATGCCATGGAATAAAACAGGTTACATCTGAAAGGTCTTACGTTGAACAGAAACGTCGTCTCAACATCAAAAGTAGAAAAGGAAGTTATAACGTTAGGATAGATAATACTTTGATAAATAGAGACAACAATGATCAATATGAGTGTGATATCACTAGTATGTGTATGCTTCCTAATAGTGAAGTTCTCCTTGCTGACTTCAGGAATAACAACTGAAGAAATTGAATAGTTTGTACAAGGTAGTAAGTCACTGTGATGTACGTAAAAGTCCCTATTCTGTATGTTATATAGGCAATGATACAGCTGTAGCTGGTTTAAGAGGCAATACCATACAGTACGTGAATGTGTCAGGTAATATTAACCTGACACAATTAATGGAGCTAGATCATGAATGTTTCGATCTAGCTTGTCACGGTGACACACTCTATGTTAATAGTGGAGACACAATTTACAAATATGACAAATACTGTAAACAAAAACAAGTTCTCTATCATTATCCGAGGATAATCGACAGTCCCTTAATTGCTATAAGTGACAATGGAGAACGACTCTACTTCAAGGCAAATACCGATGTAACTACAATAGATGACAAAGGAAATCATTTATTCAACGAACAATTTGACGGTTATAGCTTACGTGATATATGTATTGCTGGTGAAGGTATTGTTCTTGTATTAGTTGCAAACAACAATGTACATCAGCTTGATTATAATGGTAAAAAGTATCGGACTGTAGATTGCATGCCATTAAATATATCATTTCCGCAGTCTATGTGTTTTGACAGAGAAAGATGTAGACTTATTGTTGGTGGTAGAGAAGACAAGATATATGTTTACAAATGCAATTTTTGTCAAGTTAGTTAATAAAATTGTTTTGTTTTGATAAACCAAGAACCAAATGAAAAATGCATCGCTAATCTACTTTTAAGTTTGTATGTTTGCTTATTTCTTCATCGAGTCATTGCTTAATATTATGATGTCGCACTAAAATATTTTGAATGTATTTGTAAGGACATGTATATATAAGATAACTTTTTCATAATTAAGGTTGAATAGTTACAAGTTTGAAACTTTTAAAATCCTAGTCGAGATAATTAAACAACAAGTCAATCTTGTTAAAGGACTAACGAATGAATTGATATTGAGATTGATTTATCCCGCATATTGTCATAATTACTAAGACCTAAAATAAAATTTAATTAGTTTCCCCTTCCCTACCTACCCAACAAATTTTCCCCTACCCAAAAGATCTTTTCAGGTTCAAAGTGTATGAAAGTATTTTTTTTCTTTCAGAATACAATAG